AGCATTCAAAGTACGGAATATGAAGCCAAACTCAATACTACTTAGTTCATTAAATATCTACGTAATACGGATGCAATGGGCGCTAGTGTTGCAACTCAAGAGTACGAAATTTCACAATACCAATGTCGATCGATCGGGATTGGATTCAAGAGCCCCCTGGTCAGCTCTCCCATCGTGTTAGTGGGCTGATTTCTTAGAGCCGTCGGAATAGATCTAAATGGATAAAACCTAATTATTATGTAATTTATTCTTGAAGTAATTTATATAGATGTAGTTAATTGTAGTGTGTAACATAGGTACTTTATAAATATTGATTAGACGTATTGTGAAAAAATTTAGGTACAAGAGTTTTTTTTTTTAAGGGGATGAAAGTCATCGAATGACTTCTCCCGCCTGGGTGAGGCGGGAGGGAGTGTCAGACTCTTACTGACTAAAAACCACCCCGTTCCTTCTCCTGCACGTCGAGCCGGAGCCCCGGTAACCCGTTAGGTTCTCCGCGACAGGTCACAAATACAACTCAGATGCAATTAAAAACCGCTAAAAATAACTCAATCCTACCTTAACCACTAAGTAAAACATACACACAATTAGTCGAAAATGCAAATGAAGCGATTAGAAATAGTTACAAGTCCTAGTGTCCTAGGTACAAGGGTACCAAGAGTCCGTGGAGAATTAATATGTAACATTAAAACAACGTATGAATAGAGAGGTAAATGTATGCAATGTACTTGGGTTTTGGCATAAACATAAGTCTTAATCTAATCGGATTTAACGACTTTTGATATTATTTTTCGACATCTTATGTCAATTGCATTATCTCCATTTGCTTAATAAAACATTAATGATTCGACTAGCGCAGTAAAAGAATCACAATGATTCTGTTTTTAGTATCTACTTTTTAGCATCGATATTTGTTTAGTATTTTTATCACGTAATAATAAACAGTTAAGTACGTTTACCTGTATGCAAAAAACACATTCGTATAAAGTGAAGACCTGTCCTGGGTCGTACAAGGATATTTGATGCCGGTTACCTGATAGTAGTATTGTTATGCGAATTTATCATGTAACCACATAATATTACGTTTGTTTTTCGATTGATCGAAAAGTAACAGAAATGTATGATACTTATCAGTATCATCATTTGAAAGATCTCTTCGTCTCTCACCTTAATCTTAAAGTAAACAGGTTTCGGTAAAGTTAGGAGATCATAGTTAAGTTACCTTTCGTATTAAAAACGCGGATCTACGCAAGACTAGTATTTTCTATTATGTCTCATGTCTCACATCAGTACACTCAAGGGTTTCATTGAAAAAAGGAAAGTTCACATATTAATCATCGTCATCATCATCATATCAGCCATAGGACGTCCACTGCTGAACATAGGCCTCCCCCAATGACTTCCAGATAGGCCGGTTGGAAGCGACCTGCATCCAGCGGCTCCCTGTAACCTTAATCAGGTCGTCTGTCCACCTTACGGGTGGACGTAGGTACTACGCTGCGCTTGCCTGTACGTGGCCTCCACTCGTTTTCATATAAGGTACCAAATTCCAATCACCAATTTCTTTAGGAGTATCATAATAAATTCAATAATAATATAGAGGTAGTGTACTCTACATACGAATTGAACGCACGCTTAACAGTTGCATTTGCAAACTCTTAACCAACGAAATAACTTAAGAATTAATTAACACTATAATGCTAATAAGTACCCACACACTGGAATGCATCAGGATTACTGGTTTTAAAGATGGATCATTTGTCATTTTGTCATCATAATCAATTGACAACCAACGGCATTTTTCAAGTCGTACGTTGACTTATGACGTAATGGACCGAGACATTTTTTAATTAAAACATAATTCAATCAAATATTCTGCCTCGTTGGCAAAGTATTCGCAAGTGCGACTGCCGGGCAAGGGGTCTCGGGTTCGATTCCCGGGACGGGCAAAATATTACTGGGTTTTTTAAAGAATTCTCAGTAGAAGCACCGAGTCTGGAATTGTGCCCGGTATATGGCAATAGGCTCACCCCCTATTAGTGAAAAGTGGGTGTTAGATTGTACAGTGGCATTTTAGTGTCGTAATGTGCATCTCTGCCTACCCCTCCGAGGAAATTAGGCATGATGTTATGTTATGTTTAATCACATATAGCATAATAATAAAAAGAAATCTATTATACGTATTATGTAACACGGCCTATAAAATTCATAATTTAACTCGAGTTCGAAATCAAATCTCACACTTAAATATCAGTGGTCACAATTACAAATACTTTTTTAATTTATAAGAAGGTTTAATTAACATTAAAAGTATTATTATTTTGTAATTACATCTCAAACTGACAGGGAGCCGCTATAGATTCAATACTGTGATTAAATACCAACCTTAAAACATATTAATTAAACGTTGATATCAGATGAACTCATTTTTTTAGGTTATGTGTAGTTCATTGACTTATTTATGTACCATCATAATTTAATCTTAATTCATATACACATTGTTGCCATTTTTTAATAGTAAGTTCTAACATTTTTTCATGCAATAACCCGTCAATACTTTATTAGCTCTGACATGTAACTAAAAATCTATAATATCATGGCATTTGCAAAACGTAGTAGTGAAATGTTCCCGCCATACTAAGGGCTCGTAGGTACATAAACCTGCGATGCGAATTTACGATGCGAATTGCTGCGATGCGATGTTATGCGACAAGGCGTCTCCCAAGGTGACCATTCCTTCGACGACCGTCAATGTATTTTAAAATGAAAACTAGGTCGTGACATGGATCTTAAAAAAAGGTGTGCACTTCTTCTTCGTTATTGATTAGGAGATACAGGAAACAGAAACAAAGAAGATTTTGGGAAGATAAGATATTGATAGGCGATACGAATCAATTGGTGTATGATGTGTATGTGAACTGTATGTTTGTAAACGCACTCACGACACAGGAGAAAATCCTAGTGTAGGGCAACGTTTTGAAATAAAAAAAAAACTCGCAAGTTCTAGCGATGTGTAGAGGGAGCTCGCACATTTTTGCGATGCGACGTCGCATCGCAGTTTTAGTGAAGCTGTTGACTGTTAAAATTATAATCCGAATAGTAACAGTAATAGAAGACGTGTCGTGACATAAAATTTCAAACTCAATGAAAATTTTAAAGTTGAAAATCCGATTATCCTTTCGACAGATGCCAAATGACAATGACCAAATTTGTATGGAGCGTGGTGCCTTTTCATTTTTTCGCGGCAGTTGATCGGATGTGGAAAAAGTGATGCAGAATAACATTACAAACAAAAAAATATATGGGGTCTTATATCAAAAACACAGTCCAAACCGAGTTAAATCAGTTCAAAGATATGAAAATAGTGCTATATTATCCCTGTGATTTTGTTGATGGTGACCGTACACAACGCATACTTCTTCATTTACTTGTTAGAAATATTTTGTAATAAATGTTTATAAACGATTTCAAGGAATATAATGAAGCTTATTGTGGACTTTTTTACTCATTGTTTTTTTTTTTGTTATATTGCCACTGAATCAGAACTGAGTGAACCATTAACTGACCACTGCTGAAGAAAAAGAAACATTTCGCTTGATTGGCTAGCGTGTTCAATTTATATGTATACCGTTTATGGCCTATGACAGATTTTCATGATCAATTTCCTCTCAGTCAAAAACCCGCAAAATACTTTACTAAGCCCTATCATGAAATGCTATGTTTGTCAGTTGCGGCGTCGGTAGCGGATTGAATAGCGCTGATCACTTTAAAAGTCGACGGTTTTCTTTCTTCAAAAGATTATGCTAACTATTAATTAGTAGATGAGTGTCCCACCAGAAGTCAATGGCAAAAAAAAATATACTTTATTAGATGTTTGGACGGCTACCACTACTCAACCCACCACTGGTACCACAGCTGACGCTCATGAAGCTTTATGAGACAACTCCTAGAAGCATCCCACAAGTTATCGACTGAGAGAAAATAGGTAGTAAAAATTAGTGCCTGGCAATATGAATATATTGTGGTGTGATATGGTTTTCCTGTGCCCGGAGTACAGTGGCGCGCAATTTGAAGTTACGAATTGTGACAAAACAATGAATAATTTGAATAAAAAACCGAAGTAAAATGTTTGACTCCAGCTCCTTTAAACGGTCATAACTCAGTCCAGACTGAGATTTCCATATATAAGCCCATAGACAATTTTATTTGTAATGTCATTCTAGATAATATTTTCCATAAATCATCGACTGCCGCCAGAAAAAAGAAAGGCACCAATTTTAATCAATGCCCTTTGATCAATGGCGCAAAGCAAAGGCACTCGACCACAAAATAGCTACACATAGTTAGTACAATGCAGACTAAAATATAAATATAAAATGCTTAATATGCAGGGCATGTGTGTGGTCCTTTGTTTAGATATAATAGGACCAAACTAGTTTGTGTACCTAAGGACCGGTTCTGTTATGATATAGGTTACACTTGAGGTCACGATGCTGGGATCCCTTCTAGGAATTGTGTGAGTCACTGTTGCGATACTACTAATAATATAAATGTGGAAGTGTGTTTGTTGGCCTTTCTTTCATGTTGCTATGGAGCATTTTTATCGTATGATGTTTGTGTATAGAGATATAAGAAGATGGCTATACGTATTACTCTTTCGTCCAACCAGGTGAGTGATTCGCGACCAGATAGCTAGAGATACTTTGTTGGATGTAATTTAAACTGTCAAACACCGAGCGGTCACCAGTGACCGCAACCTATTGTTCTTTAACTGTATCTATAATGTACCGTATCTACATATATCGTACTCCACGAGTTAAACCACTCTTGTTAACTCCTGTACTTAGAAAAATCTGTCTGTGGAGTGTATAGGAGAGTACTTTTGAAGCTTGCCAGTTGAGACGAGAGATTTTATTCCGAACGATTTCTCACTCCAACTAAATAAAAAAATACCTCGACGGAGATGAACAAATAGTAATTAAAATTATAACTAAACTTACTGAGTTCAGTATCACAGTCGGTGTACTCGTGGTTGCAGTCGACGGTGTAGGCGGCGGCGCGTGCGCTCACCGCGACCACCACGCACCATAGCGCTAGTGCGCGGACCGACATTTTCGGTCACCGTAGCGCCATCTGCAAAAAAAATTAGATTTAGTACTCTGAATAGGTACCTACAAACAGACAGATCAGTAATTTAAAATTCTTTAAGGTTTTCAAAATAAAGCAGGTGGTCAGGTGATCGTAGCTTTGTGACTACCAAGCGAGAGCTTCTTAGGTGTTCATCGTCAGCAAATGTGGATAGTACGTACTATTTCAAAATTCTTATGTAATTATTATTAAACCGGTTTTACAGAAAAAAAAATCTCAAGAGCAATAGGCCCACCCTATACATGGGACTCATAACATAAATAGTGAAAAGGGGGTGTTATATTATACTGTGGTATTAAGTGCCGTAGTGTGCATTTCGGCCTTCGAAAATAAAAGGCGTGATGTTATGTTATGTGAAACAGTATTTTCTAATAGTAGGCGAACTGGGTATCTATTTTGAAGAACCTATTCCTACTAACAAACATTATGAAGTTCATCTTAGTCAAGACAGTGGGTCAGCAGTAGACTGATATCATAAGTAAGATGACTAAGCATGATAAAAGTAGATTACCAGCTGTTTATGAATCAAACAGCACTTGCATTAAGGTCGCGTCCCCATTGGCGCAGACGCAGCGTTTACGGCGAACTTATGAATTTTGCACGAAGCGGTTTCTAAGACTCAGTTGTGGCTACTGTTTATGCGATAAATATTATAGTTCTATCTTTCCCGACGCAACATCTTTTTAACAGTAACATACTTTAACACGTTAAACGCCGTGGGGGTCACCGGTGACCGGCGTTAGCGGAGGATTTAGCTTCAACAGTTTTTTATTGGCAGTCAAAGTCTTAAAAAAATGGCCACTGTAGTATAACTACAGTAGCCATTGTTTGTTTCATATGTGTCGCTGATCTGATAGAAAACAGTTTACTTATACATATTTTGGTAACCTTGTTCCTCGAAAGTTATTCATTATAATACTAAATTGGTTCCATAGTCTCTGTTTACCCCCAGACGCGGACCTACATGTGGGTAAGGTTTTTTTAAATGGTCGAGCCTGCCACAATCTCCCAAACCTACTGGATCTCTTGTAAGCTAGGATCTATGGTAGATACAAGCATAAAAACACTGGTACACTCGTAAGTTCGGCGCGTCCAAAGGACATGAATAACTGTCTTGGTTCCCACAACGAAGTTAATCAGAAGATATTATAACTGGAGAAGAAAAAAAATCGATAGATTCCATATGTATGAAAATATTGTAGCGATTAACAGACTACACAGCACGAAACAGAAGGCTAGTTTTTATATTTGAATAAAATAGGACAATTACGTGAACACAAGCGTTTTAAATTCCTACTCTATAAACACTATTAATTATAAAAATAGTAGACGTAACCAAACGACATATTAAAAAAATACCTGAATATGACATACCTTTACTGATTATAATATAAGATACCTAGATATTTTTCAAAGGTACAGACAGTACAGTCGACAACACTATATTGGAGATTCAGTTGTCATTCAAGAGAAAAAAATATTTCAATGGTACACTACGCTTTATTTTAAAGGGAGAAAATCATCGAATGACTTCTCACCCAGGCGGAGGTAGGGGGAGGAGGCGGAGGAGGGCAAGAGTCTGCTCTTACTGACTAAAACCACCCTGTTCCTACTTCTGTACTTTCATGTAACCTTGGAAGAACATGTTACTTCTGTTACACTGTGAAAAAGTTACAACAATTTACAAGTTATTATTATTTTATTATGTTTATTAGTCTTTTTAACGTCGTAATTTGCTGGTTTGATTGCGATATCGATCAATTTAGCACTCTTTCTCATCCTCATCAAGATTCAAAATTATTAAAGAGTTTGAGGCAGTTCTGAGCATCAAAATCAGTTCAGCAGTTTAGGTGTGAAAGCGCAACAAATGAATTTACTTCCGCATTCATAATATTAGTTTGTTACATAGATATTAAGAATTCTTATTTCGTTTTTATTCATATTATATTATTCTTGAATGTAATAGTATAATTTAAACTTACGTCATCATCAAAATGTTTTTCTTTTCATTTTTACCTATCATCTCATCAACCAACCCATATCTTCAAACTAAAAGAAAATGAAAACAACCATTTTCTCACTAATTGTCCTCTTCCATCCTTTATAAGTCGTCAAAAATTACCAATAAAGAACTAGAACATAGAATTGAAAGCGAAAAGATAATTCATTAGAAAATATATCACAATAACAACGAAATAAAGATATATTTCACCCAAAACTGTCTTTAAGATGCTTCGAAACATTGAACTAAAATCCACAATTTAAGGAAAATACACCACAACAATAACGAAATAAAGATCTGTTTTAACTGCCACTACTACTGTCACCTGTAACAAACAGTTATTTGAGACAAAATCCGCACTTGTATCGAATGATGACCGTAGTCTGCGCGAGCGCAACTTGTGGTCATGTCTGCGGTTAAAATTAGGTGAGAAAATGAATTTATTATGGTCTTATTCGCATTTGGAATAACAATACAGAAGTTTTGAATAATTTTGAGGTTATAGTATTTTGCATAGCTGTAAAATTGTTCATGGTTCTATTATTATTCTACTTTTTTGATAATAGGAATGTCGTCGAAAAAGGTTTTTGTTTCGTTTTCGGAGATAAGCGAATAATTATCAGATTTTCGGTTAAATATTTTCAGTTTTAGCTCGAAGTCTGAACTAAAACTATATTGTTTTTATGTTATGAGCCCAATAACTCCGTTAAGTGAAAAGTGCAAATAAGATTTTATTATAGTTTTTCGTAGATACATTGATTTAGTTAATTTAATGTATTTTATGAAAAAAAATATTAACAGTACATAGCTAAATATGCTAATAATACCTACTCATAGGGCTTGCAAAAACAAAAACTGACTCTTTAGAACAAGGATAAAATACAAAGATTATATTAAACAACAAATCGATTAAAATGCTAATCGAAACACCAACCACTACAAATCTGTATTTACTAAATAGTGACGTCACAATGACACATCACCACCCACTCAGTCTGCCATTGTTAAGCCATCGTATAGTGTTAAATAATTGTATTAAAATTAGTTTTCACTTTCGTATGAGGTCAAGCACAGAAAATAATTAGGACAACGGTCTGGTTTGGGGCAATGTATTGCTGTCCTTTGTAAAACGATTGGAAAACATTCACCATTGAAATAGTGAAACTTATCTTATTTGTACTGATTCGACTTATAAATTAGGTATATGTTTGTAATTATTGACACTCCCGTAAACTTCAACAATTCACACATTTTCATATTCTGTTATTCAATGGCACCCTGTAGTCTTTATAAGGTCGTCTATCTATGGTGTGGGAAGAACCATCTTTTTTTATTGGGACAAGCCCGCCACAACCTCCCAAAACCGCTGCAACTCCTGTAAGCCAGGATCTACAGTAGATACAACCATGAAAACACCGGAACACTGAAGTCCGGCGCGTTATAGGGACATGAATGACTGTCTTGGTTCCCGCAACGCAGTGAATCAGAAGATATTATAAGAGGAGAAGAAAAAAAAGATCTATTTGCGAGAACTTATTATCATAAAAGTATTTATAGTGAGTCTCAACTGTTAACGTATAGGCTTTGGTCCGAAATTAAAATGTCTTCTCCCAAACCAAGAACTGTGGATAAGACACGATTTTTTACATTCATCTTTGGCAATAATCGATCCTAATCCACACATTTTATATCGAGATAAGTTATTTTAGCTTTAAATTTATCTGAACTACTTAATCCTTAAAAAATGTGTCTTAAGTTCGTCCTAATAGAGTCAACTATAGTATCCAAAATTTTTTGAATAAATTGTAACATTTTTCGAACAACGCTTGCGTTGTGTTTCGTCGTGTAAGTGAGGTTACCAGAGGCCTAATTACCCCCCCCCCCCCCTCCTCCAATCTCCCCAATCCCTGAATCACAAGATTCCTCAAATTTCTAATCCTCAAAAGACCTGTACCGCACTTGTAACGCACTTGTCTGATGTCCATGGGCGACGCCGATTGCTTACTGGGAAGTGATCCGTCTCCTCGTTTATCGGCTTAACAAAAAAAAATAGTTTTTTCTAAACATTATCTTCTATAAACTGTCCACGTTACTCGTAGTGTTTCAGAAGAAAGTGCCCCCGATATAATCACACGGCGAATGGTGCCAAATGTGCCGCATTTACATAAGAAAATAATGATGAATATGTATTCCATTATATGTAAATATAAGTAGGTACCTATATGATATGGTTATTGTAGTAATGTTTGTCTTATATAATTTTTCTTTTTTCTCTATACGTAATACTTTCTTTGTCAGATTCGTATACTTTCTATGAGTAAGTGCCCGGCAGTTACAGATTTTTCCAGATGTTTGATGATTCTTATCTGGACACAACCTGGGAAAAGCCTGCAACTGTTATATAATCACTCCATACATAACCTTCTTATGTAGAGAAGACTTATAATAGTACACTATCATGATGATGACACAAAATCATTAAATCCACGATATTATAAGCAATAATAGGGATGATGACAGGTTATGAAAATTAAAAATCTAATTAGTCCGTAAGTTAGGTAACGACAAAATATTAGACACGTATTTTTTTATTTTGTTGTATAATAAAACAATACTTAGATAAAACGAATCAAAGGTTAGGAGTGGGGGCTAAATCGTCATTTCTACGTATAAAATGTACATAGAAGTGAAATCACGCGACATTTCAAATCAATATATTGTCGAAAGTATTCGTTTCTGTAAGAAAATAAAAAATACGTGTCTAATGATTTAAAATAATCTACCAGACGGACATTAAAATAAAAATTAGGCATCTACCCTATTCTTATTACACTCGGACCTGGGACTCTACTAACAACACAGTTACGTTAACTAGCCCTCTCAAGCACCTAATTATCCGAACAAGATAAGCCACTAGGCAAAATCAAGTAACTAGGTATTAGGCAACACTTAAAAGAATGGCCACAATTAGCATGTCCATTGT